AAGAAAGCAGGACAAAAGGAATCAAAGAGATGGGAAAAAATGTCCTTAGAGATTATTTATGTAAACATTGATGAACTATTTTTCTGGCTGATACAAATCTACTTTCTAGGCACCTTTGCATGAAAAAGCAATAGAAAAAGAACAGTCTTTTGGATCAGTGTCAATTGTTTGTTGCTCCTTACCAAAGATACAAAATAAGTAGCTGTCTATACAAGTTAAGTCAGTTTTGTTGTAGCAGCACTTCTTCCCACATAACATTCTTTTCTCAAATCAACCTTGCAACAAGACGTGGTATGCCTGAAGCTTCAGCATTCGTTCAGCTTCTGCCTATTGTTGCTAGTCTTGCGAATTTAACCTTTAAAATGAATGGCAAAAACATCACTTTCAGTCTAATTATTCAGTACGGTAATATGAAAGGTTAAAGTCATGTTAGAGGCTTTATTTCACTGGGGGCTTTAAAAGTGAGGTACCCAATGAGATACCATTTTAATCTTATATTGGAGGTTCAAATGGAGCCTAACACATACAAAAGATCAAATTTTCTTCTGTCCATGTAGTGGTGAGCTGAACTTCCCCCAGGAATTTGTTTGTGCTAAACTAAACGTAGATTTTTTGCAATTCATGTGGGAGAACTGTAGTGATACTTTTGCAAGATCTGCAGTAGAAAGACAGTCATAAGGATGAGGTTTTCAGTATGACATTTGTAAAACTGAAGCTTAATCTTACAAAAGTGACCAGTAATACCTGCTTATAGCTTTTCACGATGGTCTCCAAAAATAACATCCAGAAACATGGTAGTATTTACAAGTCCAGTAGTATACCTCTTGCACAGTCACTCAGGACTAAAGGTGACCTCTCAATGCATTTTAGGAACAAAATTTCTTTAATTCTAGATCCATCTCAGTTTCTAGAGTAAACATCTTACCCCTTCTTCTGAAGCAACCATTTATTTTGTCAAATGCAACAATGTCTGTTGTAACTGTTATGTTCTCATCCTGATTTTGATGCAAACCCACCTTTCTCAGCTTCTCAAATACTGTGGGATTTTAGCAAAATTAAGTGTGACTGTAGGCTATCAAGTTTTTATCAGCTATTATATATATCTATATATGAATTTTAGAAATGTATTTCACATATATTTTTCAAATTATATGTATGAATTGTTTTTTCTTTCACTACTTTATTCCTTTTACAAGTCAAACTTGTAAACCCAAAAGGGTAGCAAGAAAATTGAAAGTTGGAAATGAAACATTAATGCAATTAATTCTGTTACAACCCAAACTATGTTTGATTAAAAATATATATTTTGAAGGAGGATAAAGGTTATTTTCCAATCACATGGTGGGAGGAGGAAAAAGATTGAATGACAAGTTCATAAACCCACTTCATTTATTCTAATTCAGAAGTCATTGGTACAATAGAAATTATTTTCCAAGTGTTCAATTTCCATATAGCCTGGGGCTGACGACGGTTCTGCAGAAGGATATGATATGATATGAAGGATCTACTAGTAACCTCTAACTAGAGGAATATGGGAATCTAGTGGCTTTGATGGGTATTAAACTAGACATGTCTTATTTAAATCCTTGGGCTGTTTTAAATTTGCATGTGCTTGGGGTGAGATTGGTATTTGCAAAAAGTAGAATGTTTCCTTGCCCTTGGAACAGAATGCCAAAGGAAACTTCTCTTGCCTCTGCTCCCGTGCTTCAGGGCTGGAAGGCAAAATAATTAGTTCCATGCAACTAGGAATAAATCACCCAGGTTGAAACATGATAGTACCTGACAACTGGTGATGTTGGAAAAAAAGATTTCAGTAAACCATTATTGATAGAAAATTGGCATGCAGAGCTGATGATTCCAGTGTATGTATGTGTACCTTTACAGTAAGCCTAGTCTTGTAAACTTAGCTATAGATTGCCGTCTTTCCCCACTGAAATATGTATATATGGCACAAATAAAGATTGTTAAGAGTCTAATAATAGTACATATTTTTATTTTTCCTTTTTGGAAAGATGGTACATTAATATATATCTTCCATAGGTTTTTGTAGAACATTTCAGAGGACATATGTCATCTTCTGAATATTTAAAGACTAAACAGTACTTGTTCAATCCTAATCCCTTTATGCTTTTCAGAGGGCTTGGAGATTCCATTGCATTTTATTTCATCTTTTGTTGGGGAGAAAAGAAAGATCCTGCTTTGGTTTTAGCAGTTATTTGATAATTTGTTCAGAATTTTTTTTTTTTTTTGTAGGAAGAAAAAATGGTAAAATGTCATTATTATGTGGGGGTTTTTTCAAAAGATTCTCAAAATACTTGCAAGGACATAAGAGTGAAATTCTCTATTAACTATATGGACAAAGTGTAGGCTATTCTTTGTTTTCTTCTTCAGAGTGTATAATTTCGGAGAGCCTCTAGTTTAGTTATTATTTGTTACAGTGGTGCAGGTTTTGGAGAAAACTGGAATAAAGGCTATTATTTTTTTTTATTGTGATTTCATAAGTTTGCATGCGTTATTATACAGATGTTTCAGTTTTGACACACTGTGCAAGTTCCAGTTTTCTGTAGTTTCAAAATCATGCCCTTGTTTGGGAACTGTCAGTTATCTGACCCTGCAAAAGGCATAGTTGTAGGTAGAGTGGTTTTTTTAGGCAGTGCCTATCTATTGGTATGGCTTAGAACATTTAATTGTACCTTATGTACATAACAAAATGATAACAAAACCCACTGTTTATTACTCCAAATGGAAAAGTATGCGCTTAGACTGAAAGAATAGACAGGTTTGTACTTCCTACACAATACACTCTTATTAATTTTTTTATTATCTTTGTGTACAGGAGGTTGCAGTTGCAAGGGGAAGATGCAACAGTCATATATAGTCTTATTGTACAGCTATCATCTTACTCTGGTCACAGTAAACAGTGTTACTGAAACATGAAAAGTATGCTTTGCTTGTGCAAATGGTTGTGCTTCCTTGGCAAGCATCTTAATATCTGCCAAAGCTGAATTATTTAGCTGTCTCTTGTGTGTGGTTTGCTCACAGCAGAAAGTCACTGCACTATCCCCTCTTCAGCCAGTTGGAGCCTTTGCGAGAGCATTTCGCCTCCAGAAGTAAACATCAGTCTCAGAATAGCTCAGCCTTCTTTGTAGTATATTTTCATGGTTGGCTGTCTAAACAGCCAGCCTGTCTAGACAGCTGACGACACTGAAAGCTCCTAAGGTCAAAAGCAGCCACGTAGGCTACTCCTGGGGATGTTACCTCCTTGGTAGCTGTACATGTGTACGCTAGGAGAACTTTTTGGTCAGAATGAGTAAGGATCTTTCTGAGGCTCCATGGGCTACAAGAGTATGTTAATAAGGCATTAAATAATAGTTATGAGTGTATAAAGAAGGAATTTTCAGTTCTGGTCATTATTTCTGACTCGCATGGTATGGCACTGATAATGGTGGTTTGGTGCTCTTTAAAATTTGTCTTGTAGTGTCATTTGCATTGCACCCAAATTTAAATTTTGAGCATAACAGAGACCTGTGTGTTTTTTCTAACAGAAACTAATGATGAAGATAAACCAGGATCAATTTCAGTTCATTCTTTAAACAACAAAAAAACCTTACGTAGTTGTTCTGCTATTAGTAATGCATAGATTGTGTGCATAGCTGGATGTAAGTTTACACATGCTTGCATAAAAGAAATAAAAAACTGGCATGAAGAATCTTATATCAGAAGACTTCTCCTATGGCCATGGGTTACAGAGGAATGTTAGCAAGGGATTCCCTGAATTAGGTTGTTCTTTCTCCTAGCTTCCACTTGTAACACATCTACCATTATTTGTGACCAGATGTTCAGCCTTCTGCGAAATCTTTTGCATTTATCATTGTGGATCTAGACCATTTTCTATGTTCCAGATGTAATTTTAATAGAGATTAAAATAGTAGTAGTGCATGTGTCTAAATAACCGTTTGCTCTGTAATCACAGCAGCTCAGTTTTTTCCAATGTTGGAGAGTAGAACCTGGGGGTAGTTGCTGTATTTCGACTAACAAAGGAGCTGCTAACTGCAGTTCAACAGGTGAAGCAAAAAGGCTAGTTAGTGCATTCAGTTTACAAATACTGGACTAGATAGCCTACGGGGTTGTCTGGTTACATTATTTCTTACAAATGTCTTTGAAAGAATATCTCGCTCCACGTGTTTTGCAGATAGATACACCATTTTATGATGTATGTTTGCTGATGCAAGAAGAACTTGTCAACAACAACAAAAAGGAATCAACTGAGAAACCTGTACCTGGTTTAGTCCTTTGCTGATAAATCTGTTTTCAACGGGTTACCATAATGCAAATGGGTGTGTTTCTTGTGATGTGTATGTATGAGTAAAATGGGTTTAGCATTAGGTCTTCTCAGTCTGTCAAAAGATATATTCAGAACTCATATAATGGATCAAATTCTACACCTGCAGAAAACATGGCTAATATGTTTTCTACCTGGGGGATGGTCCTTTGTGTTAGTCCATCATACAGCAAATTACCATGTAAGATGAAAAAAGCCACATGCCAGTACAGTAAGGAATATGACAGTACCAAAGGAAATACTTAAAATAATACTTCTTTGTAACTTCTTAATTATTAAGTGCTTTTTTTGGTTTACATATACAGTAATGTTTTTCTCAGTTTTTTTTCCTTTCATGTTGTTAATGCATTGATCGTCCTTCAGTCCTGCAGTGTGCAGCATTCTCAGAAATGAGGAATAACACTCTTTCTGTTTTCTTGTGAATATTATTTAGACTTTCTTGCCCTGAATTCTTTGATGATTATCAGAAAGGTTGCTGATTCCTTGTTAATATTTGATGGTTTTGGTGCATAGCTTGATGTTTTGATGTAGGATTACAGGAACTAGGCCCTTGCCCAATTCCTTTGCTTTAAGAGTATTTTTAAGAGTTTACACTCCTAAAATGATTTTTCCATGCTTTTGCTTGCTCTTGTCTTAAAATTTATTCCTGCTCTTTAAGATTGAAAATCTACAAGAACAGTTAAGAGACAAGGAGAAGCAAATGAGCAGCTTAAAGGATCGAGTTAAATCCTTGCAGGCTGACACCACAAATACTGACACTGCCTTGACTACGCTGGAAGAAGCACTTGCCGAAAAAGTGAGTATCGAAAGCTTAATCCCTTCCTTCGAAAGCTCCTTCTACTAATAAACTCTCGAAAGCCGGTTTTTCTGTGTGTTTCCTGGGCTCTGTACAAGACATCTCTAATGCTAAGCCCCAGTGACATCCTTTGTTTCTGCCGACTGAAGGATGAGTGTGGAGGCTGCAGCGGTGGGTCCCTCACTAGAGGGCACTGCAGGATATCCATAGAGCTAGCCCGGGGTACTGCCCCCGCCCCCGGTACCATGAGCGGGGCAAGAAGGCAGAGCTGAGCCACAGCCTATCTCTCTGGTCATTAGCTACTTATCATCATTTTGTGTGGTGGTGAAAGAGCTTGATGTTCTCACAGTCGTCTCTTTACGTGGTGCATCTTTGGTGTGATTGTGGAATACCTTACAGTTCAACTGTGGATTCTTCTGCTTTTTGCCCTTTCTTTCCTGCCTGCCTGCGTGCCTGCTTCCTTCTTTGCTCAGATATTTTAAGAATAAATTATTTTTTCAAGTTTGGTGTGTGAAATGTAGTTTTAATTCACAATATTGAATCAAAATGAGTAGTTATCCTGATAACTAACATTTCTTTATGCTTGTTCAACTCTCAGGAGACAGCTGAATGAGGGAATAGCCTTGTCTATTCTGTTTTAGTGGGTCAGCCTTTTGGATTTACTGTATATTTTTTCTTGATTCCCAGAGAACCAGGGTCACAGTTCCTTTAGACTGTAAGATTCTATAAATATAAAGCTATGGTAGAGCCTTCCTGACATCGGGGCATTCACTTGCATCCCTTCAGATTACAAGAGAACTAAAGCTCTGTTGATATCTGGTGTACTGGAAAGTTATTTTACTGCCCTTTCCTACTATATATCGACCCTGGTGTCACATATGCACTACAGCCCATTTTTTGAGTAGAACCACAAACTTAACCTCGCATTTTGGGAAAACAAGATTTAAGTAAGGAAACAATATATAATGTATCCTGGTCTAAGTTTGATTATCAGAACCAGATAAATTTTGTTGGACTACAACAGTACATTGAAATTTTGGAGATACAGAAAGCCTGGTGTTTCTCAGCAATAAATCCATAGATTTCTCAAGTTTCCTCCTTTTTGAGAATCTGTTTTATAATCATAAGAAAATGGCAGTGGTCTAGTGGGAGGTGTCTTTGCCCATGCCAGGAGGAGTGGAACTAGATGATATTAAGGTCCTTTCCAACCCTAACCATTCTACAATATCCTGCATTCCTCCTCATCTACGGTATGTATGAAGTGTTGTGACAAGAAGTCTCAGATGTTGAACTTAGAAGGATTTTCATCACAGAGTGCTTTCTTTTATTAGGAAAGGACCATTGAGCGCCTAAAGGAGCAGCGTGACAGAGATGAACGAGAAAAACAGGAAGAGATCGACAACTACAAAAAAGACATTAAGGACCTGAAAGAGAGAGTCAGCATTTTACAAGGAGATCTCACAGAGAAAGAGGTTGACCAGCAGAATAAATCTGTTGTGTTAGAATTGTTTGTTGTATATGTGTCTTATGTTAGAGGTGAAGAAAACCGTTCCTTTATAGTAGTGGTCCTTCAACAAGTTTATCTGGTAAAATAGATTATTTGAGAAACTTTCCAAGGATAAACATTTCAGAACCACCTGTTTATGGAGAGCACACAGTCCCCTTTGCAGCAGTTAATCATGTTAGTAGCAAATAAGCGATGGTCAGTGATAGCATTTACCGGAGGTCTGCTTATAGGCAGCTGAAGGCAGAGAACAAGCTTGCTCCTGTCTAAATATAGGGAGGAAAGGATAGAGGCTGGTCAATGCTCCAGGTGCTAAAAGCATGCAGATAATGTTTATTCCTTTATGTGGACAGTATGGCTAGTTCTTTTGACTCTGAGAAGTGTTCTTTTTTGATAATTAAATTGCTTGTTGGTAATGAGCCAGTTGGTTAGAGAAATTAACCTAATTACATTAGAGAAATATAAACATTCTCTGTTCCTCTCTTGGAGTTGTAACGTTCAAGTTTACTTACTGTCTTTTTCAAAACGCAATCAAAGTAGAGCAATACAAAAGAAAAAACTCGCATCCAGGAAGTGCTAAGGTTTTGTCTACATGAAAGGCAACATTTGACAGGAAAAAAACATTAAAATGGTTCACAAAACAAGAAGTTGAGATGTCTTTTGGTGATGGGTAGCATGAATCGGTTTCAGCACATAGCAGCAGTATATAGAAAAGCTTTGAACAGTCAGTTTTAGATACAACAGCCAAATCAGCTATGCATGTATAATTTTTAAATAGCATTTTAATTAAAACCAAATTTTCTTAAACATGACTGAAACATGAAACGCAAATTCCTATTTACAAAACCTTCCATCTTTAAAAATTATTTTTAAATTAATTTAAATGAGATTTTCTTCTGATCCTGAAATCCTGAATTAAATCAAGCTGTCTTAAATCAGTGCCATGAACATCCTGACAAAATGTGTAGTTCAAAGTTGGGACCTGCACACAATATGAAGGGATAGGAAGAAAATAAAGATAAAAAAGAAGCTAATTATTGCACATTGAGAGTGTTTACTTGATATTATTTTGCATCTTTTATTTTAGTCATCGTTACTGGACCTGAAGGAACATGCTTCATCCTTAGCTTCATCAGGACTGAAGAAAGATTCCAGACTCAAGACACTAGAAATTGCATTGGAACAGAAAAAGGAAGAATGTTTGAAGATGGAAACTCAATTGAAGAAGGTAATCTCACTTCATACTTAAATATGTGGTGTAAACATTCAGTGTTAGACAAATTTGCCAAGTCTACATAGAAAACTTTGGGTCTCAAGTTTGAATTCTGTGAATTGGTTTTTAGCAAGAACTGTGAAGTTGTATCCATACTACAAGATAAGCCTGTCAGAAAGTAACTTTCAGACACTGGTGCTAATTTTAGATGTCATTTACATGCAATAAAAGTGCTGTTGATTTTATTTTTTAACAGGTACTAAGAATTAAAGACTTAGTGTGCTTCACTACAGTTCATAGCAGTAATTGTGCCATTAAGCTGGTGTAACAGCTGAAAAATTAGCAGCTGTATATGTCACATATAAATTATCAATGTTTGTAGGTGTTAATGTGATAAATTCAGAAGCATGATTGGCCTAGCCCATATGAATGCATAAAATCAAATGAAAAGAATGTATCACCCATCAAGTGTGTGATCTTTTGTTTTAATCTCATTGCCAGTTGCAGCTGATACTCTGCTAGGAATTTGCTGCTCAGAAAAGTAATACTCAATTACAAGCAAATTAATTCATTTGAGCAAAATCTTTGGGTTATGTCTGCATTGCAAGCCTTTTAATTTTGGCTCAGAGTAGCATAAATACTACACTATTCAGAGGAACATTAATTTGGTTTTAACTTTTTGATTTTAAAAGATCAGGTGGTGAAGAAAGCACAAAACATACCAATTGAAATAGTGATAACACTCCTATTTATAAAAACAGAACAAGACAAAAAGCAACATGATTTCTTAAAGAAACTTATGTCTTGGATTGTGGTGTTCTGGCTGTTTCTTTGCATCTACCCAGGAAAAGAAGGAGTGCCCATGCTGTAGTTTGGAACTCTGTCCTAGTTCCTCAAATGAATGTGAGAACAAAGTTCAAGTCACCAGTTAAGACCTGTTTAGGATTTCTGTTGTGTGGGTACAAGGTGGGTGATAATGCACCTGAGAACTCTGTGTAAGTGAAATTTGCACACGTACTTGTGTCTAGACACATCATTGCCCTTCTTATGTCTGTTACACAAAAGAAACAGTTGTTATTCATCATCAACGAAGTACAGCAGCAAGAAAAGATAGTTGTGTGCATTTAAGTAGTCTCACAGGCTGTTTTCAGTGTAGTGTAGAGCAGGTGAGTATTTCAGAAGTCCTAAAGGACCCTTTCATTTGAATTCTCTGTCATGAATTGCAGTTTTGTCATTTGTCAGTGTGTTACTAGTAATGAATTGAAGAATATGTTGTAGCTAAGATTTGCCAGAGGTTGTTATAGCAATTGGATGATAGTGTTAGTTTGTAGGTAGACAGCTACAGTGGAGAACATTGTTACAGTTACTGTAATTAAAAAAAAAAAGAAATTACTAACTGGGAGAGCACATAACAAGTAGGTTATGAAAAAACAGTTGTAGAAATTCAATCAATTAGGGAATATGTCTGTATATTTAGCATTAATGTACTGCTTTCTGCTGCTCCCCCTGAGATCACTTACCTCACTACAAGCAGTGAGTATATCAGTAGTGTAAGTGGGTGTGGAGGTTGACAAAAATCTGGTCAAGCATTGCTGACTAAAAGACGAACATGCAGTTAATTTGCACTGTGGTGACAGCTCTTCGTTATAATTCCTTTAGGGCCTACCTCTGCTTATTCCATTTCAGAGAGGATTATGCTTAATAGCTAGTATCCAGGAACATTGCATAAGGACACTGAGCCACTTCATAAGACCATATATTTTTGTAATCTAATATTTTATTTTTTTTCCCCCAGGAAGTAATTAAGCAGGTGACCCTTTTCATGAGGGTTAAAATGGGCAAATAGCTCAAATGTTAAGAGCACTATCAATAGTACAGGACAGCTATGGAACAAATAACTGTATTCCTAATTTGGTTCTGAGAAAAATAATGAGTATAAATTCATTGCATTGTACATACAAATAGATTTGCATCTTCCAATCCAAAGAAGCTCTCAAAATAATTCAGTCAGGATAGTTTCAGCTTTACAAGCAAAGAAAGTTGATAGCGTGCCATTACCTATGTGAATATAAAGCCCTTCCATAATACTCTGGATATCTGGTCCTCTGCTTCAAGCGTTATTGCTTATTAGGGCATTTGGACCATTGTTTCCTGTGCAGAGACCCTAAAGCGATCCCTCACATCCTACTAAGACAAAATCATAAATATCTTGTTTCTTTTTTAAATACTTTGTCATGTTGGCTTCCTGCAGTCTTTTTATTCAAGGGGAAATTGAAGTTCAATGGAAAGATTTTTTTTTGGTGATAAGGCACTCCATAATGGCTTATTTATAAAGAAATCAACCTTCTAGGACCCAAGTATGATTACATGTAACTAACCATGCATTTGCTTTCCTCAAGCTATACGAAAAAGCCACTTCTACCACCGATCCTCCTTACTTTCTAGAACCAAGTCACAATTATTCTTGGTTACTCGAGAAAAAGTAGTTACCAACCACTTGGATGTTTTATACTTATGACTAAGTTTAGATATTTCTTTAATAACCTTTTTTCCAGCTGTTTTTAATTTGCCAATGTATTTTGTCACTTGCAGAAAAGAAGAAAAATGTATTTTTAAGAGGCTTTCTCTCTTTAAATACACTGCAGATATTTATTCAGGCAGTCTGACATTTTCAAGGTGTGTTAATTCCTTGTCATCCTTGAAACAATTACGAGAGAGAATCCAGCTTCTAAAACCTCAGGTTTACACATCTGCATTGTTAACAATTGCAAATGACAGTCACAATTAACCATAAAACTAATGGCTCCAAAGAGCATTCAGTCTAAAGCTGAATTAGAGGTTTATTTGAGTTTTATTACATTGTCTTAGCACTCTTTTGCATAAGACGTGCAGGAAAGACTCTCTCATTTAGCTCATCACAGCAAATGGCAAAAAGCTCATTCTTTTAGGTTATTTCCCTTACAGTTTGGACGGAGATGTGTCCAACATCAATCTTGTTTCCCTTGCCTCTTATTTCCACTGAACAATTTGAGTACTTTCAGTTAAATCTATTAGCCTTAGAAGTTAAAAAGCTGACAGAAGAGAGTGAATGGGACTACTGTTAAGCCATTAAGCCATTAGATAAAAAAGATTTGGGCAGCCCTTGGAAAAAACCCTTGCTACTCTCTAAATAGGGAACTTTTGAGAAATCATAAACGGTGCAAGCTTCCACTTTTTCTGTAAAAGGGGTTTAACTTTACACTAAACTGAAATGTTATTAAACAACTGGAGTTTGGGGCTGCTGAAAAGTTGCTGGTATTATTTTTCTTTCCATGTAAGAAGTCTCCAGTGTCTGACTTGAGGTGTCTGCTTTTCATTGTTACTATTTCTCTTCTTACTAACAATGACTTTATATTGATCTCTGTCTCAGCAAATAAACCTGCAATGTTTGTCATATTTGGGGTTGGGTTTTTTAATAATGGTACCATGGTTATGTAAGTCATTCCATGGCCTGGTGTCCTGCCTTAAATAGTCTCCTTTTTAGCTGAGATGGAATCATTAGAGGGAAATCACACACAGGGAGTTCTCTTCCTGTTTTTCTGTGAAGTGTTATTTTTATGTGTGGTGCTTTGTTGGTTTTTTGTTGTGTTTTGTTTTGTTTTTTTTAAATTTGGAAACTCATTTTTGAAACTCCTATTTTAATGTAATAGTTTTACAGTGAGAAAAGCTTTCTTCTAGTTGTTTTTCTTCAGGATACCTGCTTTTTCTGTCTTGTCTTTCCCATTCAATATGCTTTGTCTCATTCTGGTTTTCTCATCTGGGAGAGGCCAACTAATACAATAATTTGTTCCAACAAAGATGAGCAGATTTTTGTCTGTCTTCATTTCCAGTGCATAGCTTTCCTCCCTATAGATATTTTCCTTATTTGAAAGGGATCAAGGTTAGAGAAAAAAAAAGAGTCCAAAACCATATTTTAACAAACATCCCCTTGGTGCATTCTAGGAACTTTTCATCAGAGAATGTTAGCAGTGATTCCCTGCCAGGAAAATACCTCTGGATTCAACAGGCTTACTCAGAGGGTTCTTTTTTTTCCGCTGTGGTGTTCTTCCTTCAAGTTCCGGAGGCTGGTATCTTTCAAAACACAGGAAAAAATGACTGAAGCACTGACCCAAATTCTGTGTTTCACAAAATTTAGCTCAGCTAGTCTAATACAGGCTCTGGTGCTTTTTTTTTTTTGTTGTTGTTCACATGAATTTCCTGCCACAACTGAAAACATTACTGGTAATATTGGTGGATAAGGTAGAAATACTATTTCTTGTTCTCAGCTGATAATCTTTTTTTCTTCAAAGAAAGGATGATAAATGATGTGTTCAGCATAGCAACCTAGAAGGGAAAAGGCTACCATTGAAGTCCAGATGTCTTTAAAAGTAAAAACCCAGCAAGTGTTGTTTAGCGTTCTGATAGTGTCAGTTACTGAATTAGTTTTCTAAATCATTTAGCTGCCTTGTAATTGATATATGTGAAGCACTAGAAATTAAAGTCTTTCTCAGCCTGTAAAACCCAAACACAGGGCTACATTAACTGTGTGATGACTGAGAAATCAAGATTAAGTTTGGAACTTGCAAAGGGGTAACTCTCCATGTTTCTCATGTTTCAAAAACTCATTAGTAATGCATGCTATAATCACAAATTAAGATTCTGTCATCTTATTAAATTAATGTAGCTATTATTTTAAATTCTTTTCTTGTTACATCTTTTCTTTTTCTCTCTCACACTATTCCTATCCCCGACTTTCCCCATCTTTTCCTGTCTTTTTTTCTCCCTTTAGCACCCTGAAGTTTTATTGAGTCATCCATCCAAGCCAGTAAGTTCCCTGGCAAACTGAGAGGCTGTTGCCAACTCCATTTAATTTTCTGTGTTGCATGTGTATTCACCTGTGTGTTTGTATGTGGGCCAACATAGAGTATATTGGTGAATTACTTTAGTAATGTGTATGGATAGTATAGATAAAAGCAAAATTCTATGATATGTCTGACCAGTCATGCTCAAAAAAGCCTTCTGAGATGCTTTTATTTTATGGCTGTGTTGGTCTAACTTCATTTTTGTTTGGACAGCTTAATGTTGTGCCAGTGTTTTTGTTTCCCTTTGCTGCAGATGCTTGAAGTGTCCTGTAGCTTTTCTTTCATCTTCATTGCGCGTGCATTTTTAGAGCAAGAATGTAGAATTTCCATGCAAATAAAGCTTCTTGTGTGAAAGAATTTTGTAACACCATGTACAGCAGCACATAAGAAATAATAATTAAGCTATGGCAAGTAAAAGATTGCTTAAAAACTTGTGTAACCATTAAGCTTACTGGTACTATGTCAGTTTAATTTTGGATCCTATTACCAGCCTTCTGTTTGATGTCAAAGAGCACTCCTTTCAAGGAGTGTTTGTATAATAATATCTTGACACCATAAATTACGTAATCCAAGGTGGTTTTCATCAGAGATTTCTTTTGTGACTGTGTGCATAAAGAAATCATGTTACAAAACTTTCATGAGTCTGGTATCTGTGTTTCACTTGACAATGATCAGGGTAAATGTGGCTGTATCCTGGCAATCATTGTCTGAAGGTCACAGAATAGCTGGTGCTTTTAATAGTTCAGGTTTTGTGACACACCATATTGGAAATTATTTTAATAAAGCAGATAATGCATTTATGGGACTAGATTTGAGAAAAGAGTTGCGGTATGCAGTAGGGAAAATTATTTTCATAGGACTATCAGAAATAACAATGAATAGTCAACTAGGGCATAAAAACTCCTCCGCTGTATTTTGAGTTATTTATTATATGTAAAAGCAGTCATTAATAAATATTCTAAGGTATTTGGTGCACAAAGATTAGTAAACCAGATTTTTTTCTTAAAGGATATAAGATTAGTGGAGATGGCATTTAAAGGTTTCATTATTTAGTATTTCACAACAGAGAATATTTTTCCCTGGAGGTTTTGTGTGTTCAGGTATGAAATGCAGACTCAAGACTTTCTGGTAAATGAATGCATTCCTTCACTTCAGAATAATTAGACAGTCTCCTAACCTGTGGATTACACTGGTACAGTCGTTACTAAACTTGTATAATGCATCCTGTTAAATAGGATTTATGTTTTTAAATCTTTACATTGTTTCATTCAGTCTGAGATTCTGTTTGGTTTTGTGGTTTTTTGAAAGAAACTCTCAGCCATAACAGCTCACTGTTTTTAAGAACAAAATGTAGAACTATGTTAGGGTTATTTTTTTTAATACTAGTTACTTTTTACTAAAAGATTTGGTCCTTTTACCAGATATTTTTGATGCTCCTGTTTAAATTTATCTAAATTGGTTAAAAATTAAATGCATTCCCTATTTGTACATTCTCAGTAGAAAGATAGATTTAGCAATGAAAGATTCTACCTGCACTGGTTATACCCCATCCTGAAGATGGAGCAAGAGCTTCCCATTGCCTCTCTCTACCACAGTCTCTTCTAGGTCTGGTCATTTGAACAGACAGCAGCTCTGCTGAGTAGACAATTCTCCAAATATGATGCTGGTTCCAAGCAGCTGCTTGATCATATAGAGGAGAAGCAAAAAATCAACATCGCGGTGTGCAGAACGGATCAGGACAAATAATCTGTTAGGATTGGAAGTTCATACTGAAAGTTAGCCGCTGGGAAGATAAAAACAGATTGGATTTTGCTGGGCGAATGAGTAGCTAGGATTACCAGGAAATATGAAGAAAGGCTGAGAGAGCTGGGGTTTTTCAGCCTGGAGAAGAGGAGACTCAAGAGACCTTATAGCAGCCTTCCAGTACATAAAGGTAGCCTACAGGAAAGCTGTAGATGGACTTTTTACAAGGGCATGTAGTGACTGGACAAGGGAGAATGGCTTTAAACTGAGAGTTTTAGATTAAATACTGGGAAAAAAATCTTTACTGTGAGGGCAGTGAGAGACAGGAACAGGTTGCCCAGAGAAGCTGTGGATGCATCAACCCTGGCAGTGTTCAAGGCCAAGGTGACAGGACTTTGATCAACTTGGTTTAGTGGAAGGTGTCCCTGTCCATGTCAGGGGGGTTGGAACCAAATGACCTTTAAGGTCCTTTCCAACCCAAACCATTCTATGTTTCTACAATTGCACTGAGTCTGGGACTCAGTGGAAACATAGTATGAGGATTGGCTTGTACATGGGTAGGAGACATGGGGCTACAGGCGCTGTTGGATAGAACTAACTGTGCATAAAAAATGCCTCAACCCTGAAAAAAAGTAATAGGAAAATGATGAGGAGCACTGGTAGATTAGTGGAATCTGATGGGATAAGTGGAGTGGAATTTGAACCTTGCAAAATGATATTGATAAAAGGATGGGAAAATGATATATATTAAAAAGGGACTGTACTTGGTGCAAATAGGTGGGAGAATCTGTGCCCAAGAGAGCATATTCTCTATGAAATCTTTTATAGCATGCACAGTTTCTGAGACTTCCCATTACTTGGAAGTCAGAAAATACAAGATGTGGGAGCAAACTGTATGTGATATGGCCAGCATACAGGATAAGGTATGAGAGTCTCTGTGGTGGCTTTTAAAATTCCAGTCGTATTGATGGTCCAAACCATGTCAGAATCATCTCACGCAGTAGAAAATTGGAGGGGTTTTCCCCTATTTTCTTACACTAAAAAAATTAAAACGTACCTACTCTACCCCATTTAGAAACCTTGTTAAGATAATATTAATTTGGAAAGATTAAATATCAAAAAACTAGGAAATGGCCTATGCAACATTTTGTGGCCTTTCTCGTTTTTCATTTTGACGTGTTTGTTACAGCATTTATAACTTAATTATTGTCTGCCAGACTTTTTGCATTGAGTGAGTAAGACAAGATATTTTTGCGTCTCAGTTTTTAACCTGCACACATCCTTATTTCCCACTGGTGGTGTTATGAAGTGGTTAGTTACCATTTGCCAAGAAACAGCCTACAGCATGATAGAAAGAAAACTGGGAAAATACTTCTTTTCAGTGTCATTTTGTAACTTACACAAAGCATAGAACCATGCACTGAATATCAAAAACCAAGCACTGATTATCTGATTACTACTGAGTAAATCCCTTCTGCACACTGAATGAAGCTCTATTTCTGTAAAATAGTAGCATATGTTCAGGTGAGCAAGGCCTAGTTTAGAGGAGACATGGGTAAGGGGGTTGAAGTATGCTCACAGATAAAACAACCAAAGAAGGCAATGGGCATTTCCCTCCTCTTTGCACACTCTTTGTGTTGGCATAAATTCTAAAGAGAGCAAGTTGTTAATGTTTATTAACGACTATGAGAACTCATATTTCTGAAGAGATCATTTTTTTTTTAATAATGAGTTCTCTCAAGGCATCTCCCTGTTATTTACAATTTGAACCTTCTTTATGAAATTATTCCAACCAAATACTTGCTTGTTCAGTGTCTAAATTTACAGTCACGTGTACAGAGACTAACCATTGAAAAGATTTTGTCACTAATAAGATAACAAACAACTCTTTGTGACAGACTCAAGTTTTCAGGAACATAGTATATAAAAGAATTCACTTTTACTTCCAGGACAGCCTTTTTGAAAAGCTACGTTACAGTATGTGATGTTCAAAGCATTGGAACTAAAGGGAGGAGCAAGTCTGATTGGGTTTCAAATTTATAATTTTGGTGAACTAATAAAGACACAATAGAATGCAGCGCACATGTTTTATCATTTGAATTGCTTGCCTTCACGATAGGAAAAGTGAAATCATTATATGTGTTTTGCAGTAAATAATCACAATATAGTTTTGTATTTATGCGTGCTTTTACTATTTTTAAGAGACGTGAGGCACATTTGGAAGTAGGAGGATGGATTAAAATGGGATTTCAGATTCTTGGGAACTTCTGTTTTGTGGCCAAAAGTTCTTGGCAACATTTGTATGTGAAAAGTTAAACTGAATTTACTGTCTCAATTCATAGGTAAAAGTAGAAAGTGTTTGCAGTGAATTATTTGCTGTTTGATTTGGTTAATCTTTTAGGAATAATGATTTGGAATTTTAGTCATAATGTTTGGAATTTTTATTTACATTTTAGAACTTTTGAATCAGATCTGTGCTATTGTTCTCTACCCTGCTTCTGGCATGCTTTAAGCTGTGTAAGGCTACCTTGCCTCTTAGTAGAGAGTTTTTTGGCACGAAAAATAATCATCTTTGAAAATTCTTCTCAGTGTGTTTAGTCTTCATCTCCTCTCCATCTGTAAATAGCGGTTATTTCTGTGAAACTTTGGTCAGCTTTGTTTTAGTTGTAGAAGTTGGCTTTGACAGCTGATTTTCTGTGGAAGCAATACAAGTTATACTACATTTATGTGAGGAACAATCACTCTTTCTTTTATTCTTTAGGTACCTGAAATATTCACCCCATCACTTACCACATTCCAGAAGGGAAATGATGGCTAAGAGCAAAAAAGCAGAAAGCTGTTAAACCACCTTTTAGTTTATAGCTCCTCTTAAGAACTTTGAGAATATATCTGCAGTAGTAGGCTTAAACTAAGTAGTAAGGTTAAGCTATTCTCGGTACTGAGTCTCTTAAAATTTGAAATTAAATTAACACTGGCAAAGATTAATACTATCAGATGAGCTTTGCTAATTAAAACATAGCTTAAGAAAGTGCTGTTTTCTGGCTAAACATGACAGTGTTTCTTATGCAGACCAGTGCAGAATCAAACATGCAGGTTTGATTGTGCTTCTGAAAACAGCTTCAGTTCACCTTTTTGACTCCACACAGGAACAGACGCGGAGAGCTAATGCCAGGGTCAGTAGGAACTGTTAAGAGGTTTAAGGTAGCCTGTTACCAGGTAAACTCAGTGGTCTGTAGCATATTTCTCATTTGTCACAGGAGAAAGCGTAATGTTCCCTTCACCCTAAGCAAGCTGTTTTTTCAATTTGTTTAATCTTTATCATACTTTTATACCTTTTCACGTTTGTCTGTAACTATATTAAGGGCTTGCAGATTTAGGAACACTGTCTCAGGCAGAGCTAAAAGTTGAACCCATGGAAATGCATTTCTTACAGTCTCTTAATAACAGCAGAAACTGTCTTAGTGCATTTATCACTTTATATGTCGATTCTGTTTAAAAAATGAAATTACTGCCTTATTTTGGAATTTTAGTACACCTTTGGTGGGCAGGGGAAGTTGTGTGGGTTTGTTTTCTTTCTGTGAGTATAGGAATTCATTATTTGTGTTTAACTTTCTTTTTGGTTAGAAAAAAATACTGCTGAATTATTTCACACAATGTTGCATTGGGAAGGTAGCCAATTTCATCTGTTCCAGATCTTGATGTGAGTTTGTGGGAAACCTCTAAATACATTGGTTTTCTCTCCTATACAAGAAATGAATCCAGTAGGATTTTTGATATGATCATGTGACACGTATTTTGTACATAACCCAGAAAATGGACCAAAATCACTCAGTCAGTAATTCACAGCTCAGGAAGTGGTCTCCAGTTTACACCATATCACATAACTTTCTCTTTGTGTTAGGTGAAAGTATCCATACTTATGTGCATTATATACAAATAATACGTTTTACGTGTCTTAACTAATAATTTATGTCGTGTAAATAGCCCTTTCGTTCTCTAAGAACCAGACACATTGATTTGTTGGCTAATTTTCTGAAACAGAAAATTGATTTCCTCTTCTCAATAGTGTCTCTCGGGTTGTTGTGGAGGTACTTTTATTAACACAGAGTAATATAAATCAAGAATGTCCTGGCAGTAGAATTGCATTAGGTCTTATAACTTATTTTGAATTAGAGAGTTGAGTAATCCAGGCTAACAGCCTAGCTTTGCTGGTTTTTCTTAAGTTTCTTGATTATCTGCTTATGTATTTTGGATGACTTTAAAGAGCCTGGAGGAGTATTTGCTAAAACAAACATATTGAGATGTTTGAAAAATACCTAAATGCAGTACAGAAGAATTCAGGTTCTGTGTCTGGTGAAAACCAGACTTAACTCTAAACATAGTGTCTCTTCAGAGAATATGGATGCCCCAAGTAGACTTACAGATGCCTCCCAGTAGGTTTATAGATGCCTCTCCAAAACAGGATTCCTAGTTCCTTCAAAGCAGTTATCTGGGAGGGAAGGATGGGGATTTTGTTTGAAATTTAGGAACAGTTGAAAAGGAAATAAAATCAAATATTTCAGTTTTCCTGCAGGCTGGAAATCCCAGTATGACATTTCAGGAACACCCACCAACACTCTCCTTCCAAAGTAAAGTATGTTCCCTGAGGCTTGCAGCTGTTCGTGAAACCAACACGCTTGTCAGTCTCATTGCTGCAATGTCCTCCTGGAGTCTGCATCATCTTGGCAACACATTAATTAGACTTGTGCTTGCTGTAGAGAGCCCTTTCCAAGAGTGTGTAATTTGAAGTGCTTATGGGGCAGTAAGGGATCTGGAAGCATCAACAGCCCTCACTACAAAAGGCTTCTCAAAACTTTCAGGCTCACTAGGGATGCACTTGGAGCCAGGTCTCAGTCAGGAGCTCAGAAGCAAGATTTTCAGATTTACAGCTCAGTAGTAGAGAGGTGTCAGGGTTTGACTTGAAAGTCACTCAGAAGTAAGGATCCTTTTAAGTCTTCCGAAATGCATTGCCTCAGGAAAGGGTTCTACTCTATGACTGTTGGGCTCTTCTGCTGGGATCTGATCAGGAGATTTGGGGATTGCCAGACATTTTATTCTAGGCTAAAATACTGTGCAGGTTGTCCAGCTTCCTGGAATTCCTGCTAAAAAAAAAAAAAAGGAAAGAAAACCAAACCAGTTTAGCATTGACCCTCAGGCAGGAGAAGTGTTCCAGTATTTGAGACACCCGCATTTGTTCCAAGGTCATAGTCCCAGAAAAGTCTGGTATCGAGACATTCCTCAGTCCTAGAAAGTTCTGCTTCAAGATTCTCTTGGATTTCACTAAAATGTGGCTTTGGCTTGAATGGAGCTAATTAAAAGCAAGCTACTTCAAAGCAAAAATGCTGGGGTTGATGAACAGATATTTTCCTCCAGTCTTATTTTACTGAATAACTAAGCAGATTTGGCGAATTGTATTTTTTGCTGTTTGCTTCTTTGGAAGCAGCAGCTTTTAACTCTGCTGCTACAGTTCTGTCCAATTACCTTTCAAGGCCACTGGGTCTATCGGATTTAGACTTACTGTGCTTTGGAGCAGAACACTGGCAGCTTGTAAAACAACTTTCCACAGCTGCACATAAGGAGGGGAAAAGTCTGTGTCTAATTGCCTGTTGTAGGCTCACTTCAGACAAGAGAAAGGCCTTGAGTTTGCCAGCAGTCTTGGTTGGCAGGATAGCTCCACCAAACCACTGAAGCAAAAATGAGCAATTCTGAAATACCTTTAATTGATATCAAATAGCAGTTCAAGATACAAGAGTAAAGGGTCAGGAGAGAATGGATAGTCCTTAGTCTTCTGGTTTGAATTCTAGCATAAGTGCTACCTTTTCTTTATCTTTGATATGCTTGGTAACTGTTGAATTAATTTCACTAGTAAATCGGTGCTTTTTATTAAAAAAAAACCCCAAAAAACAAAAAAACGCACACACAAAAAACAAACAAAACCCCACCAAAAAACCCAGAAACACTCGGTCCTCTGAGGCTTTTTGTCCCCATAGCCAGTTATTGAGAAATCATATTTCCTAGATAACTAGGCAAAGACAATTTCAGCAGGTAGCCAGACTCCAGTTAGTCCTAGTCTGTATGGTTCAGATAACTAGCCAGGACTTCAGTACATCAACACCATCTGTGCAAATCTGTACAATACTGCATGCTCATGTGATTATTGAAGGCTGTTAACTTGGGATTTGTTTTTCTACCTGGACTTGTGCAAAGCATTGAACGCTGTCCCAAACAGCATCCTTGTCTCTGAATTGGAGAGACATCAATTTGATAGGTGGACCACTCGGTGGATAAAAACCTGGTTGGATGGCTGCACACAAAGGGTTGTGGTCAATGGCTCAATGTCCAGCTGGAGACCAGTAACGAGTGGTGTACCTCAGAGGTCGGTGTTGGGACCGGTCTTGCTTAACATCTGTGTCAGTGACATGGACAGTGGGATTGAGTGCGCCCTCAGCAAGTTTGCCGATGACACCAAGCTGTGTGGTTCGGCTGATACGCTGGAGGGAAGGAATGCCATCGAGAGGGACCTTGGCACGCTTCTGAGGTGGGCTGATGCCAACCTCATGAAGTTTAACCATGCCAAGTGCAAGGTCCTACACCTGGGTCAGAGCAATCCCAGGCATGGCTACAGGCTGGGCAGAGAAGAGATTCAGAGCAGCCCTGAGGAGAAGGACTTGGGGGTATTGGTTGATGAGAAGATGAACATGAGCCAGCTTCAGTGTGCACTTGCAGCCCAGAAAGCCAACTGTATCCTGGGCTGCATCAAAAGGAGCGTGACCAGCAGGTCAAAGGAGGTGATCCTGCCCCTTTATTCTGCTCTCGTGAGACCTCACTTGGAGTATTGTGTGCAGTTCTGGTGTCCTCAACATAAAAAGGACATGGAACTGTTGGAACAAGTCCAGAGGAGGGCCATGAGAATGATCAGGGGACTGGAGCACCTCCCATATGAAGAGAGGCTGAGAAAGTTGGGGCTGTTCAGCCTGGAGAAGAGAAGGGTGTGTGGAGACCTTCATAGCAGCCTTCCAGTATCTGAACGGGGGCCTATAGGGACGCTGGGAATGGACTCTTCATTAAGGACTGTAGTGATAGGACAAGGGGTAACGGGTTAAAACTTAAACAGGGGAAGTTTAGATTGGCTATAAGGAGGAAGTTCTTTACTGTAAGGGTGGTGAGGCACTGGAATGGTTTGCCCAGGGAAATTATGAATACTCCATCCCTGGTGGTGTTCAAGGCCAGGTTGGACAGAGCCTTGGGTGACATGGTTTAGTGTGAGGTGTCCCTGCCCATGGCAGGGGGATTGGAACTTGATGATCTTAAGGTCCTTTCCAACTGTAACTATTCTATGATTCTATGATTAGGCTAAAAATAGTTCTGATACTTAATTCTACAACCATATCACTCTTTCAAAAGTGTATTTTAGACTATTTTATGCCCACTCACTCTTATGTTTCGTTTCCTTTCAAAGGTTTAACTTTTTCATATTTTCACTTCATTCTTCCATCAATTCTAATGAAAAAGAATTCACTTTAATTCTTTTAGACAGAATCAAAAAAGGCAAATTTATTTCTAAATTTTATTTTCCTATGAAGCATTTCCCAATACTTGTAAGTAGCACAAGTACTGTATATTTATTTGTTTGTAATGATTATTCTTTCCAGCTTAAAACAGATATCCAGATAATGTTTTGCAGTCATCATAGTATCTGTAAAATACGTATGTTTGAATGAAGTGTTTTTTTCTTAAACCCTTTTCTTACAGGCTCATGAAGCAACACTGGAGGCTAGGGCCAGCCCAGAGCTGACTGATCGTATGCAGCAGCTGGAAAGGGAGGTAACACGGTATCGGGAAGAATCTAGCAAGGCTCAAGCTGAAGTGGATCGTCTTCTGGAAATCTTGAAAGAGATGGAAAATGAAAAGAATGATAAGGATAAGAAGATAGCAGAACTAGAGAGGTGAGAATGGTATAAAGGTACCAGAGGAGCAAAAAAGCTGATTAAAGTTAGTGATAACTTAGTCCATTTTTCTTTTGCTAAAAATCTTAGAGTGCCTATTTTGGGAAAGGCTAGAGGTTTTTTTGCCTTCAGTCATTTTTTTTTTGGTAGACAGTAAATGAAAGGGTGTCTTACTGTATACTTTTATTACCTGGCTGCTTAAAAACAGGGCTGATACAGATAGAAGTAGAAGGGTAGACAGAGCTGTAACGGAATGAAGATGGTAGGAAAAGTTGCTGACACTGTGTTGTGCTTGGAGAACAATTAATTCTTTTGATTTAATAAATTCCTCAGGCATGGTTTTAAAAAAACCCTAAAGCCTAATAAGAAAAAGTACTTTAATAGCCTGTGATACTAGTTACCTAGGTTCTTCTGACAAGTGATACTGAAACTCTGTTCTGGTAGGAACAGAGGTAAACTTTGGCTCACTTGAAGCCAAATGAACACATTTGCTTTTGTCCAAATGAAATTTGATTCAGCACTTTTCATTATTTTCTATCTTTCTGTGGGAGCCAGAGTGTTCAGATTTTTTTTCACTATTTCAATGTGCAAAAATTATAATTTATTATGATTCCATGAGATTTGTATTGCAATTATAAATAGTAGATCTTGGGAAAGACTTGAAACAGATCCTGTTTTCTAGCATGTTCTTGTTACATTGGACCAAGAGTGAGTTTCAAGGCAGTATTACCTGTTTGGGGCTTTTTGTGTACTTTACCGTTCTGAGTGAAAAATCACTAAGTTAGAAAAGCAAAATGGAAAGTTGATTATTCCCATTTGCCTTGTACCAGCATAGTCTATCTAATTTCTATCTTAGCACTATTTAACTGCCCTGCATTTGGTGTCAGGACGATGAGGGCAAGTGAGCAGAGTTCTTTAGGATGGCAGTGGTTAGTTATTATTCAGTGGCTTGATGACAGTCAAATTATGGGCCCCTCTGAGCGATTTGAAAAACTCTTTTCTAAGAAGTCCATTCTTATTTCCTTGAAAGTGACAGAGATCTGAAATAGCTCAACTTGTCAGGTAGGTTTCTTCTGTCTTTGTGATTGTAAGTAGCATCCTGTTAGTTTTGTTTAAGTAGTTTTATTTAACCAAAATTCTTTATACCTGTGGTGCAAGCTTCATTTGAACACCCAAAAGCGAGGATACATCCTTTTTAACTGTCTTTCTTTTTTTTTTCTGAGTAATATAGCTTTCAGCCCATTGATAGATGATGCATTCAGCCTAACATTCAAGCAATAGATGTATAGAGTAGGTGCATTAAGTCTGACATGAAAAATCTTAAATAGCAGTTATAAGCCATATTTTTCTGTGTGATTTTTTTTAGTCCCTTAGAGGTGCCCATCTCGGGCATGAAGTTCAACATGTCATCATCTTAGGACATGCAAGTTGACTAGGGATCAAGATATAAGCAACAAGTTTCTGTTGGAAGTAAGGTATAGGGAAGAAGTATGTGCACAGTGCATTAATTTTTTCTGTGTGCAGAAGTAATTACTGTTTAGGAAAACCAAGTCAGAAATATTTTTCATTCCCCAACGTGATTCCTAGATGAGATTGGAATAGCAGGAATAGTTTCCTTATGCACACTTCTAATGCAAGTATCATTTTCTTATTACATTAGCATTCAAGATTGGGACTTGCGATGTCATACACTGAATAAACACATCGAAGTAATCTATAATCAAAAGAGTTTATAGTCTACAAAGCAAAAATAAGAAAGAAGTGAAGATGGGCCTCCTCTTTTACAGATAAAAGCATTGGCACCCAATATTCAAAGAGTTAGCAAAGAGCTTTTTCTTTCAAAAGATGCAATTCTAGATCTCTGCAAAGCTGTTATTTTTCATGTTTCAGTGGTAGTTTCTTGCTGTTTCAGTCACAGACCAAACCCTTGCTCCATCAGTGAAAGCATAAAATCATCAAATGACTGGGCATCATTCCATAACAATTTGGTGAATAATATGGCTATTTAGTGTTAGCCATTCCTACTTACCATCAGATCTTCAGTCTTACGAAGAAAAAAAAATAGTTGTGATCTTCTTTTTAACTTGTCATCTTTTCTACCAGAACTGAGATAACGTACAGTATGTCTTTCTTTTACTTCTAGTATGTATTTTAGCAATGTAAAGAGAAGACTATTTTGTGATTGCCAGCAGCTGTGTAAATCAAGGGAGGGGAATCTCCTTGTGAGTTTTTACACAAAGCAGAGATTTTAACATGCCTATTCAATGTATAGGTTGGTCCTGGTTTTATCTTCCGTGATTGTTTATGAAGTATTCTTTCATGGCTGAACTGATATACCCAGGCATGATACATGCATGTTTAGAGCTAGAGCTTTAGTTTCCTGAAAAGGATAAATAATTTTGCCATGTAAAAGTCCTTCCTAAACTGTGGTCCATGCAGAGCAAGCTAAAAATTGTCTTGACTTCTAATGCTTCTACAGCTGTTCATAATCTTCTGTGCAAAGAAGAACCCTAGTGCTTGCAGAAGCATTTGTCAGAAAGCACAAAAGTGAATGTTGCCATGCCTGTCAGGAGCTGTTATTATTCCATGTAGAGCAAGATGAAAAGAAATAAATTACAGTCAAAGAATAGCTGTACTAGCAAACCCAAGATTTTTCAAAAGAGTGTCTCCCTGGAGTTTTTCTGTATGCTGGTTATAAGTGACAGCTAGAGTGTATGTCATCAGGAGAAGAGAAATAGTAGAATGGTTTCACCCACAGAATAGAAGAAACGAGTCGCCTATTAGGGAGGTATGTATAGGGGAACAGAGAAGGAGAAAAGATAGGAGAAGATGAAATGAAAAGCAGAGAACTGTTCTCTTAAGCCCTTTCAGTGATGGCAAAGCTGCCTTCAGTTCAAGTTAAAATAAAGAGCGAAATGCTTCCGTTCTTCAATAACTGTTGCAATTGCTGTGTGGGGGATGCTTTTCAGTGTGAATGGAAGGAAAGATATAAAAAATGCGTTAAGTATGGTGCATGCTACACAAAAGTTTTGGAAATACTCTAGAGTCAACATGAGGTTGAAATCACAAGCTCATTAATTTATATCCTCTGTGGGCAGGACTTTGCTTTTTCTTACAGGAAGGTGGGCCATAGGTCTGCATTTCTTCTGTGGGTGAACAGTGCTCTAAGTTTTGTTTCTGTCCCCAGACTATGGTGGTATAGAGGGTTTTGTAGCTGTCTGGTTATTCACTTCCTTTATAACTAACTGTTTGCTTTTTGTATTGTCATTCCATAACCTCCTCTCTCTCTGTAACTTTTCATTCTGTGTTTTGCTTCCTTCCTCAATTTTTCTCTCCATTTTCACTGTCACGTCCTGCTTCCATGAGTTGGTTTGTTTTGTACGTGTGGGGTTTTTTTTTGACTATGCCTTTTCTCAGAAAGCACACCTCCCGCAAATTGCATCCTCCCTACCAGGTGTCGGTCCCTGCACCACAACACGTAGGGGGGTTTGTGTGGGACTTCCTGGGAAAGTGAGTGCTCTATAAGGCTTCTGTTTCCTATGGGGTGGAATGTCACTGCTGGCTGCCCGGCTGCTGCTGCTGCTGCTGTTTGGGTCTGCTGCAATTACGCTTTCTTTCTTAGGTCAAACAGGAACTGGTTATGTCAAGTACAAGCTCTAACAGTCTCTGCGTTCAGCTCGTGTCACAGTGGTTATAACCACAATCCAGAGGAAGTTTGCTGCTATTCTCCCTGATTTAAAGTCAACAGAAGCTGTTGCTTTTTATTCTAATTCTCTTGCTGTGATTCACCTTTAGTTCTAACCTCTGCTATCAGTTCTGCCTGAACCAGCTAAAACTCAACTGTTCTAAAATGTCTCATTGATAGAGGTCAGTATTGACTTATTCTTGAGGTTTGTTGTGATTATTATCCTGTAATAAGAAAAAGGGAATTAAAAAAAGGAAGATTAAAGAAAGAAAAATACTGCTAATAATCAGGGATTTGGCCATCACAACCTTCACACGGGTAGCATACACAGAGGTATTTGTGTGCATGTACTCTGCAAAAAAGAACTGACTTGGTTCTTGAGTGGTGGAAGTAAATATATATATGTATATGTTGCTTCAGAAGTAAGCACTGACTAAATACATATGGAAGTCCTGGTTCCAGTTACAGACCTAAAGTTGATATTAATTTGGCATGCTTGCTATGCATGATAGGTAGTCCTTGTAAAGACATAGGACACTACCATTTTTTTGTTGAAGAAAACTTAACTTTGCTTTGGTAGCAAATGAAGACAGTACTTAGCTCTGGAATACCAGAAGTCTCATTAAGAACAGCTGGAAATGATGGCTATTTTAAGAAAGAGATTTGGGGGATTTTTTCTAAAAAAAATTTAAGGTTGCCCCATTCAAAAAGAAACCTTCAAACTTTGATGTGTAGCAGCCAGAAGGTATACTCCTCACCTTAAATATTTCAATAGTAAATAAAAATGAAACGTTAAAAAACATAGGGAGATCTCAAAGGAGTGCTGACAAATGTGGACAGTACAAGTATCTTACTCAGTATGTCTTGAAGACTGTAATATGTTTGTGTAGCAGTCTGTGAAGGATAGATGGAGAGAGAAATTAACAGCACGTTCCATCAACTTTATGGTTTCCTAGAATAGTGAAAAGGAAACTATACTAATAAATTATGCACTAAACTTAAGTCAACAATTTGAAGTTGAAATACGTATTTTCAAACTACTACTCATGTCTTACAGTAGTTGTCTTTGGTTTTCAAGTTGGTTGTTTCTGTGAATTTTACATATATCTTTTAGAGAATTTCTAAACATGAACCACATAAGGGCATGAAAATAATTTAAAGTAAAAGGGATGTTGTCAAATTAAAGAACAAAAGCTGTTCATGAAGTCATAATCTCATCACCATTAAAGTTAGCCTTGAGACATGGTATGACTATAGTTCTGTATTATTGTAACTCATTAGAGTCCTCCAAAAATAAACTGCACTCTGATTCAGGCATAGGAAAAACTGAAATAAATAAATAATACTTTGAAGTATTTGAATCCATTTTGATATCAAAAAGTTGCAAAAGCAAGTTGAATATATTTATCTCTTGGTTGCGTGATATTATAGGGCAGAGTTGGTTGTTCTCATCCACGTCCCTCAAAAATCCATAGCTTAAGTGAACATTAAGATTCTAAGATTTATCACTGAAAACTGAGGACATTCCAAACTGAAAATTGCCATGTAGTTTTAATGAGCAAACAACTGAGAACAAAGTTTTGCAGTGGAAAGAAGTTGAGGCCCGTAGTTAGCCCAGCTCCACTTCTGAGCATGCAGATTTATTGAATACTAAGAATTTCATCATTTCCCAGCTGGGAAATGAAGAAGTCATTTCTTTCTTTTCACTCTTGCTTTATCTTCATGCAGAATGAACATTACACCCAAAGTCCCACATTAAGTTTCACAGAGGAAAAAACAATGCATTTTATATCAACATAACTGCTTTAAACAGATAAGAATATGAGATGCTAATACGTTTACCTACAGGTATTTAACTTCAGGCACCAGGAAATATGCAGATTTTCAGAAGGCAAGTGTTTGCCCTAAAAAAGTCAGCCTTTGTTGAAGTGCCTTTAGATCAATATGCAAATTTACTAATCACTTTTGAAACCTACATCTAAGAAAAAAGAGACAGAGACACTTCCAGTAATTGCAAATCCATCTGCAGGGAGCACCAGATAAAAAAGCCATCATAGTGATTTTACCACGACTCCTCAATCCATCCTCACCTTTTTTATATAATGGGATATCCTTTTTCCATTTGTTCTTTATTTATTTTCCATTCTCTCCCTTTTCCTGTGGTTTGGGGAAAACTTTGATATTGAAGAAACAGCTGTTCTAAAAAACAAGGTCAAAAACCCCAATTACTTCACCTGGTGAGAGGTCAGGGCTGGTGCAGGCTTTGGCTGAATGAGCTTGCCTGGTGTTGCCCTAGTATTGTTTCCATATTCAAGCAGGCAGGACTCTAACACTATTAGAGTGATTCTTCTCTATGGAACTGAGTACAGACTTTCTCCCTTTGTTAAATTCAGCAATGGGCTGAAAGCTTTGTTTGTCTGGTAAACCAAGGCTAAGGATCTGATCTTGGATCATCCGAGAAGGACCCTATACTAGGGAAATACTTACAAGTAATTAGAAGTTCTGATGGTGAACTTTTTTGAAAGCTTCTTCTCCTGCCAAATTTCCTGTAGCATTCAAGCCCTGTTTTTTTTTAATCATTAAATCAAGGTGGTTGTCAAGCATTCCCTCTCAGGCTGAAGTCAATTATCTGTAATGAACATAGGAGTTGCCATTTGATGATTTATACTCTGCTTGAATTGTAGCAATTATTTAGTAAACATCTCCTAATGTAACTGCTAAGTCAGTAGTATAAGAGCTATGATATAATTAAAATAATTACAAAACCAGATGAGAAATAACATCAGGCAAATAATGAGCCTAGTTTGCACATTAAGGTTTCATTGTTACCTATTTCGACTACATCTCTTCAAAAGTTGTTTTGTAGCTTTGTTTCAGTCAGCATCTTTGTTTTGACTCACAAACTAGTAGGTAAGGAGGCAAAAAAAAACCCCAAAACTTTTTATACAACTGATACAGTAAAAATAAAACTGTCAGACTCTTACATTGCTCTGGAGTACAGTAAGAACAAAAAGAAAATACAGTAATCATCAGTAAGACAGTGAAATAGCAGCATTAGGGCTCCGTGGCCATTGTGATCATGACTGTGCTCTTAGGTTCATTATGCATATGCACATGGATGCACATGCAGACCTTCTCTATCTCTCCGTCTCTTCCCTATTAAACAGTTCTCCAAATATCAGCTAAAAAGAAAGGAAAAGGCAAGCCATGATTCTGTTTAACAAGAAAAGGTATCAAACGTGGTAAACATAAAATGTCTTCCTGCTTTGACTGACTCAAGGAAGATCAAGTGCATTCTATTCCTTGTCAGGCTGCTTAGAAGGAATGGCAAAGTAATAAATATACACAGTCACTCACTGTCAAACTAGTGGAATTCGAAGGTTGACTAAATATAAATGATTACATAAACTTCTTTCTAAGTACATCTGAGACTAATGTAGCAGACTCATTCCACTCCCGATAATATGCAACCATGTGGAAAAAATTATAGCTGGACTAATCAACAACTTTTTAAATATATATATATTTCATAATTAAATTACTAAAGTTTTCACATCTCACTGATTTTTTTGCTCTGCACCCAGTGATCAGATTTAGGCCAGCTATATCTTTAAAAGGAATGTGATGGCATTTTGAAAGAAGATGGGTTTCTCTGAGACTGCTGTTTGGTGTTAAATTATCTTGTCTCCCTGTGTGACTGTTGCATCGGAGTACACAGTTAATGGGGCTGGGCAGAAGCACTGCTGCTGGATCTTGTAAGGAATGCCGCAAGTGTATGTTCTTGCTCGAAGGGAAATAGTGCAAACTAAAGATTATTATTTTGCTCTGTAATGAGCATGTCTCGGTATGTATCTGATCCTGCTTGCTTGGGGCTGCTTCCTGGGGCAGATGCTTGCTGTGCTCCTCTGCTCAATTTCACTGATGTAGTCCCATGCACTGAGGTGTCACCTCCAGTCTGCAGCAAAACTCCACTGATTTCGTAATAGCTGGCAACTTCCAGCCTCATTTTTAGTTTGAGTGACAGCACAGTTCCAGATTTTTTCCAATTTTAATGTGCTTTCAAAAATTCCTCATTTTTGTTTGGATAAATACGATGATTATTCTGAAAATCCACATTTAAAAAAAATATTTTGAACCCCTGTAAAAAAAACCAACAAAACAAAACAAAGCAAAAAACCCACCAGAACAAAAAACTGACAGTGAAAAGGGGGCTAGCAATTACGCAAAAGTATCTTTCTTTGGAAGAAAGAATTTATTAAAAACCAAAATGAAGATGTAGCAATAATTATTCTCCATTTAAATCCTGTGCAGCTGGGTAAATAATACTTCGGTAGCATACAGAAAATTGCATGTGACCTCAGCAGAGCATTTCAGGTACTGTTCTGCCTCCCTTCATCTTGTGCCAGCAAAAGATGCTACCCTTAATAGCAGTTGAAAGAGCAGTATGGTTCATTCGGATCCTACAGGGCTGTTCTGAATTCTAGCCTCTATTTTTTTTTTCACTGTTAAATTGAAGAAACAACATAACAACATCATTGCAATAGAACCAAGAACTACAAAGGATCACTGAAATGCAAAATGAGAGGCCTTAAACTTTCATAATGTAGATTCAGTAACAGTCAGAAAAAAGCCAGGCTTTTCCCCCCATGCTTATTATTCCCGTATTTAATCAAGTGTTTTGTTTTCACTTTTTTGTTTCATTAAATCTGTTTGACCAGTTGTAGCTCTGCAGCTCAGCTTAGGGAATCTACTCTTGGATTGCAGTCAGAATTGTTAGTTACACACTTCTCTACATGAATTAACTCAGGCTTTTGTAACATTATAACTCACTTCAAGATCAAACAATGAGATGTGGTATTTGGCATTTTGCAAGTCTCATCTTTACAAAAATCCCCAATAACACAACCTTTACAACAGCTGTCCTTGAAGAACTTGGTTTGAAGAATGCTGTTTTAAAAGCCAAAGAAAAGTATCTTTACATCAGTTTGTCTGTTACAGACCAACATGACACTGCTCTGCTGTACCTCACTCTGAAACTGCTGCTTGTACAAATTCAGTATCCTACATTGTTGTTTGTAAAATATATGCCAGAAATAAGGACTTCAAATTTCATTTGCCTGGTTTCGTATACCAAACATAATACCAATTAGCCTGTTCTATAGAAATATTCTTCTCCAGACCATATCCTGCCTTCTTAGAGTGAAATTTTGCCATGAGAGAAGTGCCACATATGTTGTAGAAGCCTAATTGCTACTTTAAACAGAAAGACATTAACTTTTTCTCTCTTCTACCAACTGAAAAAAGGTGAAATATCTGTACTGATGGTTCCTTGTTGACTTACCTTGCTGTTATCAGTGAAATTGACAGCAGATGCCTATCAAAAAATATTGGAGATATTTGAAAAAAAAAAAAGAAAAAGCAATAATGAACCTATAGGGCCTCATGTTGCACAGGGGACTCCAGCATTTTGTCTTGGTCAATCCTGCTAGTGAACAATGTTGGAGAGAACTGTTAAAAATACGTCTCTTTGGTCATTATTGTTTTTAGATTGCACCTTATATGGGAGAATTAAAACAGCAATACTGCAGGAAGAAGAGGCAGATGCTATTTTTCTGTTTGTCTTTGGAAGGGTGACTTCAATGTCAAAATTAAGAAAGATGAACTTTTAGCTTTGACAAGCCTTCATGTCTTGAAGGCTTTGCTCCATGGTTGGAGTTTCTCCCCCCTTTTATTTATTCCCTTTTGACAAGTCTAGGTCATCTGCAGAAAAAGTGAAGAATATGTGTTTTGCTCATGGGGATAAAATGAGGCCATAGAAGATGACATAAAGGAACACATTAGGGTTCATCTCAGAGAGAGAAATGCCACATTTTCAAAATGTTACTTAGAATTCTGGAAGAAAGATACTTCTAGTGATGTAAATCCAGAGTTTTCTACAGTTGGCATATTTCCCTTTTCCAAGAACTCTTACGTACTAGAGAATATTTTCTCTACAGAAAGTTGCCTCTAAGTGAAATGGTGTAATCTAATGTAAAGGTCCTTTTTCCTTTTTCTTTCTTCTTTTTTTTTTTTTTTTTGTTAAATTGATGTCTATAAAACATGCAGCTCTGTGTTTGTGAAAGATTGTATGTCTGTATGTCGTTACCTGATTTGTATCTGCCTGTTTTGTCCTGTATTCTTGAACTGCCTTATCTCTGGATACTGTTTTCACAAACTCTAACTCTTTTTCTTTCGCACCTCCTTCCTGGATTTGCTGCTTCCTTCAGCCTCACCTCAAGGTCAGTATTCACTTTTAATAAGGGTGTTTATGAGACTGTTGTCTATTCAGCTAAAACTGAGATCTTACAGAAGTTTGCACATCAAACTACATGATCTACAAAATAAGAGATCAGGGATTTGGTTAAGTCTGTGTAGGAGGAAGGGTTGGATAGGGTGCATGTTTAGAAGAAACTTGTACTTGAAGAATTTATATCAAACCATTGTAAACCAGAGTTGTAGTGCACTGGGAAGAAGGGGGACTTACCAGTGAAGCCTTCCAATAGAAAAAATAGAGGACCTGGAAGCTAGACAGTTTAAGTATTACTGGTTTTATCAGTTATTTCAAGAAGAAGAAAGATGGAATGTTAGCCATATTCTCTGATGCATGCTACTGATGCAAAACTAGTTCCTTTAAAATACTAGTCACATATACTTTAACATTTGGATTTTTATCATTGTATCTATGTCTGAAACCTCGTGGTGATCTTGCAAAACCAGTTTTGGTGCAGTTTGAATGTGTTGTGCTGTCAGAAAGAATGAAGAGCTGAGGGTTAAAGATAACTAAATTAGCAAAAAGATACATTTGTTGAAGGCACAGAGTGATAAACTATTGAAGAAAACCTACCAAGAGACAACATGTTGTGAAGTTTTTCAGCTATGGCTCATGGTTTTATATTTATATTTTAAAAGCAGTTGCTAAACATAGATTTTGGCATTTTGGTCGGATAGGTAGAAGTAAAAGTCTATTGCCTACATAATGCAAGTCATACAAGTCAGAGCACATTATCTAAGGCTCTGAAACCATTTGGTAGGAAGTATCCATGACTTCTGAGGAAGGAATGGTTATAATTGTTTCAGGCCATGTCTTTGCCCAGAAAGCCACTGCTTGACTGAATTTCTGAGTTATTGACCAGCATCCAACTTTTCTTTTCCTGATTAACACTGAGAAATGTGGTGGTGAGTGGAATCCCATGATGCTGCAGTGCTGCTGACGCCTTCAGATTGTGTTGGTGTTCTGACCTTGGTTTGGCACAGACATCACATTTGTGGCCTTGGCTGCATATTTTCCTTCCTCCCACAAACTGGAAAAAGATTGAAAGTTAATCATGTTGTTGTCCATCAATACCTTCCGTATTCAGTGTGTCATACTGGCATACTTGTAATTGTTGGGGAGAGGAGGGCTGTCCTTGAATGACCCTTTTTCTTCAGGTCTCAAAGAAAAGAACTGCCAGGAAGCCTTTTTGCTCTGTGAGCGTTCTCTGAAATACACACAGTGTCTTTTCTTGCATGAGCAGAACTTTTGTTGGGTATTTACCAGCTGCCACTATGAGTGGAGTTGGATGTGCTTTGTCTGGCTGATGTAGTGCTAAATGTAATGGCGTCCACCTGTCAAAGATATTTCTGCTTCAATCCAAATGGCTATAGGTCTTTATCAATACCTGCACCCCTACTGGAATTTGTGATGAGCAAGAGGGAGAACTAGATTTAAGGTGTGTTTTGGGTGTGTTTTCTTTGAGACCTGGCATGATTTCTCTTTTCCAAACAATGTAACCATAACTCTTAACTTCTTTCATTTAGAACATATTGTAAAATGTGGCTAGAAAATGTACGGTTGCGGTTTGAGCTGGCCAAGTGCTAGGATCTTTGAAGAGTTTTCTGATAAAAGATTGTCCATTCTGTCCTCACAGTGTCCTAATGGTTTTATGGTTTGGGGTTTTTCATTTTATTTTTTCCTCTTTCTTAAAACTGATTGCTATGATGTCTAGTTGCTGAGTTCTTCATATATTTGTTAAAATAAATCAGGAGTGTCAGGGAATAATAGGTGAAATGACTACTCTTGGAACGACAAAATCCCTGCTGGCCAGAAACACAATTAAAAGTTTCTCTTAAGGACAAGCAGGAGAAGTACAGAGCTTGTGGTAGCCCTCGTTTTCTTTCCTGTGCCTTTCAGTGTTTGCCTAATTGCTGTTAACTTCAACATATGAAGAAACAGCCGTGCTGTAAAGTTACACTCTATGTCGGAAGCTACTGTGGGAGTCATGACTTTATTTTTTCTCTTAATGGTGTCAAGCAGTTATTTTTTTCAGACATCGAAGCAAATTTATTTTCCTGGAAAAGAACTTAATATGTGAAAAAATGTGTTAGGTATGTCTGTCTTCTAGAAACAAGAAAACATACTCTGAATTTTATCGGTTCTCATTAAGAATAGCTTTGCTCACTGTAGTCAGTGCAAACCCTCTGAATTTTCTGAGCCGTCTATTAAGTTTTCATTTTCTCTCTCACATTGATAAACTCAGTGAATATGAACATTGTAGTCTAATCTGCATTGCTGCTACTGCTCAGAAGTCTAAGGGCCTAAAGTGGATGTCATACAGATTCGTAGTAAATAAAATAATCTTGGAAGGCATGGGGATTAAAGCAGTTTTCCTTAAGGATTTTTTGGCTAAGCATCTGTGTTGATGACAGCTTTACACAAAGAACTTTCCAATGCTGAGTTCAAGAGTAATAAGCCAAATAATACAAGTCTGGTGTCATTACCTGCAGCAATGAAAAAGAAAATAGAAAAATACCATTAAGCCATATGCTACAGTGCTTTTAAGTGGTTCTTATGTATACGTGTTGCAAAAGATGAGGTAGAAAAAGATAACAAAACTGACAAAATCAGGTGCTATATTGAGCAATAACATATTTTTCAAGGAAAGAACAAGCTGTATTAATAAAGCAAAAGCAAGATTTCTAGCTTCAGATTGGGTAACAAACAGCTACATCTTTTTTTTTTTTTGTCTGCTGAATAACATTGAATGTGCTGTTTATCAACAATTTATCTTTGTAGTATAGCACTGCAATGGAATAATAGCTGGAACAGTAGATCAGGAGGCTTGTCTTTTAGTGTCCAGCTTTCTACTGTCAGGTTTTCAAATAGTTTATATTACATGCTTAATTGTACTCTCTGTCTTCTTTTGAAGCAAGTAATCCAGACCTTAAGAGAAATAAGTTTGTTGGGGTTTTTTCTATACTGAAGAGAATTTGATGCAATAGGAAGTAATAAAAAATACTGTGAACCTTATTTCCACACAGTGAAGTGGCTTGGTGATTAGATGAGTGCAGGCTGGTGGCATGAATCCAGATACAAGTCTGTTATGAGTGTCCATGTAAAATTAAACGTCAGTATAGCAACTCAAGTGTAGCCTTATAAAGTCGAAGTAAAAACAAAATCCTACGTCTGAGGGGATTATTTCAGTCCTTTTTCCAAGGTCCTAAATTTATGTTAAACAGAACATGTTTAAACACCAAAGAAGTATTTAAAACATACAATCCTTCTGTAACAGAAGGAAAATAACAGATAACAGTGCATAGAAAGTTAAGCAAATGCAGAGAACTCGGAATGCTATCCAGTAATCGGTAAAAAAATATAAAGGCAGAGTACTTAGTTACAGGCATATACAGCCTGTGGTTCCTGTGAGTTTGTGATGGAAATAGCTTTGTACAATTATATACTATATCTCTAGGAAGCTGTGTATGTGAGCACTAAGAAAGTGCCTGGGCAGTCAGGAGGAATTTCACTGGAAGTGTGTCTGATTCTTTAGTTCATACCTTCAGAAGACTCAGGTCTTCATTCTGGCACCATGCTGGTCATTAATCACATCTGGAAATGATAAAAGTTTCAAGCATGTTGTGTCAGCAATGGTTAGTTTTAGCTCAGCAGAGCCAGATACAACGTGTTCAAAGAAGTTTCCATTTAAATTTCCTTGGTCATCTTTGAAAAATAATGACCTCTAATGTAGTATGCTTCTTTAATTCTACTTAGAGCAAAAATGGCTTCATGGAATTTTTTGTGTTAAAAACTGCTTTGCTTGTAAGAGTTGTCTATTCCTTGCGAGTAAGAAGTAAGGCATTTTAGAGATGTTAGGAAATGGAAGAAATGAAGGCATCAGATTTGTTGGCTGTGAAGATTGGGTGGTGATGAATAGGGCACAAAGCAGGACTGTGGTTTTCCTTGCAAAGGGGTCACTGGCACAGTCTTTCAAATTAGGCACAGTGATTACCAGAGCTTTCTGCCTTTGAAGTGGAATCTGTATCTTTTCTGTCAAAGGTCCTCTTTTCTTGTCTTATTTCACTGCATCTTAACAAAGCAAAATTATTCACAGCTGTACATCACCGCAGAGTTCTCACTCGCATGAATTGGTTTCTTTCTTATTACTGCTGAAATTAATTTCATTATATGAAACACTGAGGAGTCATTTTTGTATTATTGCTGTTTTCAGTACATGTATTCACAAAGCATGTTGCTTTCCTGTGGGAATTTGAGCTGAGGTAGCATTAGAAAGATGTGATTGGATATGGCACTAGGGAGAATGTTTGTATGTCAACAGTGTGCTGTGAATTTTGAAGAGCTCCAAGTCAAGTGCTCTAAGAGGTAAGAGGAATTCTTCACAATTTGCTTTTTTTTTTCAGACGCAACCATATTATTTGAAACATCAAAATACAACATTATTTTTAGAAGACATGTTAGAACATGTCTTTACGTTCATATATCCCAGATTTAACAAATTACCTAGCATGCCGTCATCATCAGATTAACTGAAATTATCATTCAAACTTCATGCAACATTAAACATTTTGACTAACCCATATGTGTCACATCACATTTACTCTAAGGAATGAAATCTGAAAGTTATTTTTCATCTCTTAATGGCTAACTTCTGTGCAAAAATTTATACCCCCAAATTGTTAGATTTTTTTATCTTCTGACTAGATTTTCACTTTCTATGGGCAGAGTGAATTTATGTGTCTATGGTAAAATAGTCTTGATGCACACGTTTCCTTAGCTGACTCCCAGAAGCTTTAACAGTCCCTAGACTAGGCAATAATATGATAGTTACAGAGAACTGTTAGGCAGGAGACCTCTTTTAAAAGGTTACTGAAAAGGATGAGACTTGCAAAAGGATGGAGAGTTCAGTACCTTCTTTTCCTCCTATTTTACTGGTAAGGACCCCTTTCAGATCCCTGAGCATAGAGG